CCAGTCTTGCAATTGCTACTAATTCTGCTTGGCTTTGGTTTAAATAAAAATCTCAATGCTCTTGGAGCCTCATTTTCCGTATGGCAACCCAAAAAAGTTGGTGTGTGTGTGTGTGTGTGTGTGTGTGTGTGTGTGTGTGTGTGTGTGTGTGTGTGTGTGTGTGTGTGTGTGTGTGTGTGTGTGTTTAGAGGGGGGAAGTACTGGGGCTTGAACTCAGGGAGTCTGGGCTCTGTCTCTGAGCTATTTTTTTTATTGTGAAAATACTGTACAGAGGGGTTACAATTACATGGGCAAGATCATGAGTACATTTCTTATCAAGCATTGTAGCCTCCTCCTTTGTTTCCCCTTCCCATCCCTCCCCATCCTCCTCCCACCCCCCACCCAATCCTCCACGGCCCCTCCCCCTTGTAAAGTTCTCTGAGCTATTTTCCTCAAGGCTAACACTCTTACCACTTGAGCCACACTTCCACTTCCAGCTTTTTGGTAGTTTTTTATTGGAGATGAGTCAGCCTGGGCTTTGAACTGGATCCTCAGATCTCAGCCTCCAGAGTAACTAGGATTACAGACATGAGCCATTGACACTGTCTGAGGTGTACTTCATGAGTGTGCAGTGTAGCATACATCCCCTTGTGGCCCTCTTTTTCTGACTTAAGTCCCTGCAGATGTGTCTGAGGTCTTATGGTATTCAGGTAAGAATTATATTCTGTGTACAGAAATAAGTGTTAGCTGAGATTACCATCTGATTTTGACCCAGTCAGCTTTGTCCTGTGTGAACCAGTGGTTTGACTAGCATTTAGTTTAGTGTTAGTCTAAGAGCTATGTTAATCTTAAAAAATTAGAGGGTACATATTTGCTGTGGTGGAATTCAGATGAACTCATTTGTGGGTAGGGAATCTTTCCCTTAAAGCTTCTCTAAATATGCAAGTTACCAAGAGTTAACTAATATTTTAGGAGCAAAGTAATTATCTATCTATACCCATATACATATTGTGATGTGTGTGTGTGTGTGTGTGTATGTGTATGTGTTTGGTGGCTTTTGCCATAGATGTTAAAGAAAGAGACATTAGTAGTTAGTAGACAAATAGTTTATAAGTAGTAGTGGTTACAGCTCATTGTTGTCAGTGATAACAGCATTTTTCATCACAATTATAGGTGAGACAGAACTCATGTATAAGTCAGCACATTCATGCTAGTGTGAACATATTACAAAGCATTGCACATGCATTATAGAGATAGACAAAACTGGGGAAGAGATATATTTTCACTCACCTCAGGTTGGCTTTGTGTATTTTGTCATTGAGACTTACATTATGTTTGGGTCAAACAAGAAACCCAAAGTGGTTTTATAAAAGTTTACAACCATTAAACAATATTGTTTAATCCCACAATTGGATAAAGCAAACTACTATAGCTCAATGATACACAAACCAGGACTAAATATAGTCAATCTGCCTATGTGTATAGCTAGCTATAATACAACCGATATTGAATAAGCTGAGTCTTTACAAAGGCATTGACTACTTTAGACTAACAGATTCTAGAAATACACTGGTTTGGTTTCTAATGAGAACTAACTGTAGTGCCATTTTGGTTGACAATTATGCACTCCTCAGTGTCAGACCTGAAGAGAAGCAAAACTAGGGGAAGGCAGAGAAGGGAAGGTTAGGAGGAGACCTGAGCAGGGCTCTTTGGACCGCTTGGCATTACTTTCCCTGTGCAGATCTAGACCTGGTTCACAGAGTAAAACAAAGTGTATTGAAATTGTTGGCCCTCAAAAAGGGCATTCAAAGTCCCATACTTACAGCATAGAGAAATGGTAACTGAGCGCCTCTCAAAACAAACTCTTGCATGTTAGAAGAAAACTCCGTGACAAAGGTTAATGGATATCAATGACTGAACTACTGTATAAAGATAAATTTATTCCAAAATAGAAAAAATGAATTTTAGAGAAGTAGTCTCCTAAAAACTGAAAGGGACTGAGGCAGGAGGTGGGGAAGGGGAGTCAGAGGGGAGGAAGAAAATCATGCTGTGTTTCATTACTTCGAAGAAAAGTTTTGAGGACCATTTTCAAAAGGCATTTGACTTCTCTGTCATTTTCCCTTGCATAGCTGGCACCTTAAGAGAGAGTACAATGGTTTCATGTTACCTTTGAAAAGGCTCCTTTTCCTTTGAGCTGTCTTACAGAAAGGGTGCCCTGGATTGACCATGCCACTCCAAGATCACATTTCTCCTTTGGGTTGAAATCAAAGCAATGAGAACAAGGTCACCAAAAGAAAACAAACCCCACAAAAAATTCTACAAAATCTAAGGTCTAAACAGGCACAGACTTGCTATGAGGTCAGAAAATCAGTGAAAGAATTAAAATTACAAAGCACCTCTTGCAAAATATACTGCTGCTTGAAAACCACAGAAAACTCTGTGCAGTAACTCCTGCTGAGTGCTTAGAGGTAAGTATCCTGAAGGACACACACTGAGCCCCATAAAGGAAGCTTGATTTTATTATCAAGGGAGCCAAGGAGGTCCCAAATGCTCTTTGTTATGTGCTGTTTTTTAATCATTACAGACAAAATAGAAAAAGCCAAAATGCATGTAGACCTCAATATAAAGAAAATGTTGCTCTGATAACTGAGTCAAGCTGGATGCATGCATTCATAGTTGTACAGCTTCATTAGAGATGCTTGCTGATGACTCGCTGACACTCTCTACAAAATCCCTTTTGTAAGGATATATCAAATTCACTAGGCTAAAGAGAGCTTATGCAATATAATGCTTCAAAATGTACACATAATAGCTGTGTGCCTAATGATAAAGAGGCCTTGAAAAGTGTCGGTCTATAAACTATTACTGCCCTTTGGAAATAAAAGCTCATTTGTGACCCCTGGGCTACTTCCCTGTGACACACAGTGCCACAGACATCAGTGGTGAAAATCAGTTCTAAATATAGTTTAAGATGCGTATTTGTACATTTGTTTCTATACAATCAGGAAAAAATGAGATACAATTTGTATCAACAAAAGGTCATTTCTGGTTATTTGAGGCATTGCTCCTAGCTGCTTTGGTTTATACACATTTTATGAGAATGAAAAATTCTTCTTAGAAAATAAGAAATACATATGTTATCTTCAAAAGATCTCCAGTATTGGGAGGAGCTTACAATGATTACTTTGTATGTTAAATATGAGCATGTTCAAGATGAATTGCAAGCTGACAAGATTGGTCTTGTGCTTCTGTTTAGATTGTGCAGCTAGTGGATACTGCAGTGCCATTAATGATTTTGGTAAGAAGATGGAATAACTGGCACAAAGGCATTAATCAGTTACCCTGATTTAATTGTAGGGCAGATTTAGAAGGTGCAAAAAGCTGAAGGGATGAAGTGGTATTTGTGTGAAATAGCAAGCACTGCAATAGCAACTGTCACTTTGGATGGACCTACATGATAGAACATATGATATTTTTACCAATAAGCCAGGGGATGGGAAGAATAGGATATGAGTACAAAGTTGTATTAAGTGAAGACAAATATTGGTAATCACATTGTGCTGATCAACAGTGGGAAGACACAGAAAGCTCAAAAGCAGCATGCAAGCCATGATCAAACTACCAGAAACAACCCTGACTACAGCCTGACATTCGGAGTGTTTCACAGTAAGAAACATTTATAGGCAGTGTCATACCTTCTCATGAAGAAACAAAAGGCCAAGGCCAGGCCTTCTCAACTTTCATGAAAAACAGGACTATAGGAATTAGCAAGTTCCAGCTCAAGAAATAGTGAGCTGGTCATGGTTTCAAATGTTGAAATATACAGTGGACTTCCAAAAAGGGGATTGATTTAGTGCAGCTTTAAAAACAACAATAACAACAACAACAACAAACACCTCTTCTAGAGGCATTTGCCTACAAAGGTTCTCACCCTGAGCAAGATACAAATTGTGCAAATGGTGCCACCCAACCCCAAAGTCAAATCTTGAATAATGCATCTAAGAATTATCTAACTTAGCAAGTGCACCCTTTTTGCGTAGATTTGAAGTGTATAACTGAGCCAATGATTAGCAAAGATGCAGCCTTCCCTTTTGGGAAGTTGCCTTTTACCACCTAGAAAATTCCCTGGTTTTGTTTCTTAAAGAAATTCTGCCCCACCAGTGATTGACCTTATTGCCCAAAGGGTGGACAGCAGGAGAAAGTAGACTACATGGCTATGCACTGTCCTGCATAACATTGGATTCTGTGATGTTGAATACTGCATAGGTCAGAAGTCCAAAAAGCATCCAAATCATCCATTAGTCCCTCACCCCTCATCATGTGAAGCTTCTATATTCATCGTTTAGTGCTACATGGGCCTTGGCCATCTCTCCTGAGACAAGGTGAGTGGACTCTAGTAAAGTCCCTTGATCCTGGGCAGACTTTTCTGCACTTGTGGTAGCACACACATACTATATGTGGAACTTGAGCCTATCCAATAGCTTCTCTGCAGAAGGCTGCAACTTGACCCCTAATGTGCTGAGGTGAAGAGACTTGGAAGCTAAAAACTGCTAATAAATGTTGGCAAGTAAAAAGTGCAAAGGAAAGAGAGCTGGTTTGCTCTGGTGCCTACAAAAATGATTTTCAAATATTGGCATGATATTTCACTTTCAAATCTAGTTGAAACTGAAATATGACATAAAATCATCAAGTCAGACCTACTATGTATACAGATGTAAACTAACAACTGAGTAGACCCTATCTTCTCACTATCACTATATAAAAGTTTATACCAGAGATACACACATATACACACACACATACACACACATCTCAAACCAAATATATACATTCATACATGCAATAGAATTGCTAAAAGTAGGGTCAAATATAACTCTAGGCGATTCTACATGACCCTATAACTTGGTTAAAGGTATCGAATGATCAGATATCCATGCAATAAAAGTATGTATTTACTTTTAAATAATGCTTCCAGTATTCTTATTAAAACTCTAAAATGTTTAATTCAGTATGCCATCAGATTCTGGTACATTTGTAATCTCCGTTGGATGTATCATCCATACTTTGTAATATAGAATGTGTGACTGAGAACACAATGGCAATGGAATCCCTTGGGACTGCTTGCATGTATGCCTTTCCCCTGGGATTTGTCCTCCATTACCTACAAAATACAGTGCAAAGGGCAAGGGACTTAGAGTTCGAGGACTTCTGTGTGTGTCTTGACTTGGTCATTTACTATCAGTGTGACCTTGGCAGGTCACTTTAATGTGACTGAGTGCCAGCTGCTTTCTTTGCAAAAGAGGATGTTTAGGAAGACCTACCTCACAGAGTTGTTATCCACTTAAATGATGTAAACACTCTGTAACTTTTAAAGGGCTGCACAAAGTTTAGTTACTAAAACATACTCTCAGTATATTATTAGTATTAATCTTCATATTCCTAGTAAGGAAGTTTCCTAGTAAGGAAGTAAGTTCCCCTATCACATCAACGTGCAGCCCGAAGCTTGGCAACAATCAAGGCTGCCAGTTGCTGAGCATCTGCTGTGTGGGGATTCTTCTCCATCACTGAAAGAACGATGTTAGAAGGGAAAATATTGCAGAGGTTCTTGTAGGTCTGATATTGGTGCTCTGGGATCATATGCTCCCTGGAATCATTACACATTCCAACCCAAGGATTCCTCCAGAGCTGCTCCATCTTTTCAGGCACGCTCCTTACCATGACTGGCTCATAACATGGCTGCATGAGGCTATTACTTAAGGGATAGGAGCGGTAACCATAGGATTCGGTTGCACAGGGAAGTGGATCCCAGCTGGCATGCTGTTCCCGGCACAGAGGAGGTCGTCTTTGCCGCATGGGGTTGCTCTCATAGAGGCGGGAGTCAGAAATACTGTCCATTCGAGTCATCACTAGAGCCCGGCCTGGTTGGGAGGTTGCCCCAGGATGAATGTTGGGGGGAATGGGATAGTCTCCAGGGCAGCCAGAGTGTGCTCCAGTTGCTGGGTGCTGGGCATGCAAAGCTAAGTGGGAGACTGACTGCTTGTGGGGGGCTTGTTTGGAATCCTCTGGGCCATAGCTCTGTACTCTCGTTAAGGCTTCATGGTAACCATGAGAAAAAGGCTGAAGACGGTTCTGAGATGCAGAGCGGTGCAGCTTCAAACTGCCTTCCGGGTGGGTATCAGCTACAGCCAAGTACAAGTTGTTATAAGAGGAATAGTTGTCATTCCTAGTATGGCTCATACGACTGTCAGGACAGAGGTTAGGATTCCGGACATACACGCCCTGGTCTGCGTCAGCCACGTAGTACTCTCGGTTGTGCATGCTGTTGATGTTCAGTTTGGAGAAGTCGCCTAGCATTGAATAGTAGCCATGGTCCCCCATGGATTCAAACTTTGGGTATTGCTCAGTGTAGCTAATAGGAGTCCCATGGCTGTTGGTAACCAGGATAGGGGGGTACTGCATGCTGGCCATGTGCTCCAGTGAGGCCTTCTGGTGAGGAAAATGAGAGGATCCTGGCACTGGGCTGCTAGCTGAACGGGTGTTGAGTGCACCCACTGCATGGCTTTTGGGGAGTGGGATTGTAGGAACACTAAGGGCAGTCACAAGTGAGGGGACAGAGCTGGCCTCAGGCTTACGGGCAATGGACAGCCATTCTTCAGGCTCCACAGCCACAGACCGGATGCTGGGGTCTGATTGGCGCTTGGGGGCTACACGTTTGACCTCTGAGGTCATTTCACCTTTGGCATTAGACATTCCCGTGCCACACTTGGCCAGGGTGCCCTCACTCATAGTTTTCACTGTGGACAATTTGGCACTGATGCGAAGCTCATCAGCCACTGAACGCTGGGGTTGGTTAGCCCGCTCCGGATGGTAATATTTGCACTTGTGGCCATAGGTGCATTTTTTGCCTGAAAAAATATAATGCCTTGAGGTTAAGACTTTTTCCACACTGTATCAGAAACTGTTGTGACAATCTGGTCATTCAGGCTAGGCTTAACGAGTCATAAAGATGAACAACAGACAACACCAAGGAGGCATCACACACTGCAAGAACTGGAAAGCTGAGGAGGAAACTTTCATACAGAAGCTAATAGCTGAGTAGCCTTAATGTTGCAGTATCGTACAACTTTGCCCAGGCATCATCTGCATGTGGAGGAAACATAGTGTAATAGAAGGCACATGATATGGTACACACAGCACAGGTTTAAGGGCCAGTCAAACCTGAGTTGCAATTTCAGCCATTTCCTATACTGGTCATGTGACCATGATGACGTGTGTGTATGTGTGTGTGTGTGTGTGTGTGTGTATGTGTGTGTGTGTGTGTTTGTGTGTGTGTGTGTGTGTGCCGGTAATGGGGCTTCAGTGTTCAGGTCCTCACACTGTGGCTTGGCTGTTTTGCTTAAGGCTGGTGCTCTTCCACTTGAGCCACACTTCCACTTCTAGCTTTTTGCTGGATGTAAGAGTCTCTTGGAATTTTTTTGAGGGGGTCTGGTCATGGGGCCTGAACTCTGGGCCTGGGTGTTGTCCCTCAGCTCTTCAGCTCAAGGCTAGTGCTCTACCACTTGAGCCACAGCACCAGTTCCGGCTTTTTTCTTTTTGCTTATGTGGTGGTGAGGAATCGAACCCAGGGCCTCATGCATGCAAGGCAAGCACTCTACCACTGAGCCACCTTCCAAGCCCTATAAGAGTCTTTTGGATTTGTCTGTGTGAGCTAGAGTTGAACCTGATCCTCAGATCTCAGCTGCCTGAGTAGTTAGGATTATAGGCATGAGCCATTGCCACTGGGCTTAAGTGACTTTATTTTCTGAGCCTCATTTTCCTCTTCTGTCAAGAGGGTTCATACTCATATCTATATCATAGTATCATTGAAAAGAAGGTAATGAACATAAAAACCCTCTGTGATTTAAATGGTCATTGAGGACAAAATTTAAAATCTCCCTTCCCCTTACATATGATTATCCACAAAAGAGAAAATATCCAAATTAGCCCTAGATCAAGCCTGAGACCAGTGCCCCCTTACAAATGAAGCTTGGAAATTGGCATGGTGGCTCACACCTGTAACCCTAGCTACTTAGGAAGCTGAGATCTGATGATCATGGTTTGAAGCTAACCCACGTAGGAAAGTCCATGAAACTCTTATCTCCAATTAACCACCCAAAAAGCCAGAAGTGGAACTGTGGCTCAATTGGTAGAGCACTGCTCTGAGCAAATAAGTTCAGAGACAGTGGTCAGGCCCTGAGTTCAAGCCCCAGGAACAGCACACACAGAAAAAAGTTTGGAGGCAACTACAAAGTTTGACTGAGAAGGTAAGAGTGATGTGTGCAGATGGCTAATCAGGAGATGGATATCTGAGGATCATTGTTCAAAACCAACCTAAGCAGGAATGCCTATGAGCCTCTTACGGCCAGTCAGCCACCAAAACAACTAGTTTTGGCTCAAGTGGTACAGAGCTAGCCTTGAGCACAATACATTCAAAAACAGCACTGAGGACCCAAGTTCAAACTCAGAAAAAAAAAGGAAAGGGTATTTTCTCCTTGGCAGTTACCTGCCTGGGAGGCATGTTGTTCTTGGATCCAAACCCAGTCTGGCATTGTCCCCCTGCTTCAATGAGCATTACTTGGCTCCCAGGCTATGTGTCAGGGCTTAGCTTCTATATAAGTATTAATTAATACTCCTTTCAATGCTGTTTTTTTGTTGTTGTTTTTTTGTTTTCTGATGGTTGTGGGGCCTGAACTCTGGGCCTGAGCACTGTCCTTCAGCTCTTCAGCTCAAGGCTAGCTCTCTACCACTTGAGCCACAGTGCCACTTTTGGCTTTTTGTGCTTATGTGGTGCTGAGGAATTGAACCCATGGCTTCATGCATGCAAGGCAAGCACTCTACCACTGAGCCACCTTCCCAGCCCTCAATGCTGCTTATTTTTTGGGAGGGAGTGGGGGTTTTGAACTCAGCCTGGGCACTGTTTGTTAGCTTTTTCATTGAAGGCTAGCTATTCTAATTCTAGTTACCTTTTCCTCATGCACTTTCTAAGATTTCACTTTAAATACATAACTGAGTGGACATAAAGACATATATTAGTTCTTAGAATAAGATCAAGCCAAGATTTCCCATTTGAAAGGAAGTTCTGCAATGGAAACATATCCACAGAGTCCTTAGGTATCCCTTACTACTGACCTCAGGTTAGCACCTTCGTACTTACCATAAGGACACGGTTGCTTCTTGTGCTCAGGAACAACAGGTCTCTTTCTTAGAAAATTTTCAAGGCTGGGGCCATGGCGTCCTAAAGGATCGTCTGGAGGCATAAATCTGAAAGCAAGAAAATAAGAGGTAAATGTCTTCACTTCTATCCTCATGACTCCTGATGAGGGGTTCACATCTTCATGAATTCTTGCCTGCAGCATTGTCATGACCTTCCTGACTCACAGCTACCTTCTGCTAATAAAACATGTCTTCCCTTGTCTCCATGTGATCACATGTTTGCCCTGTGCATCATTCTTCCATGGACTCTATGCTCTAGTCATTCTGCTACATTCCCACTGCATGCCACCCATCTTCACACCTTCATCATTGTCTTTATAATATCCCCTTCAACTGTCCTACCCAGCAGCTCTTTTTAACCTGTAAAATTCATTTCAAACATCATCTATTGGGAAGCCTTTTCTTGTTAATCACATAGACAAAGCAAATGCTTGTTTTTTGTTGCCAGTCCTGGGGCTTGAACTTAGGACCTAAGCACCGTCCCTGAGCTTCTTTTTGCTCAAGGCTAGCACTCTACCACTTGAGCCACAGTGTGACTGCGGGCCTTTTGTGTTTATGTGTTGTTAAGGAATCAAACCTAGGGCTTTGTGCATACTAGGCAGGCACTCTACCACCAAGCCACATTCCCAGCCCCAAAGCAAATGTTATTTTTAAGTTAAGTGTTGCCAGGGGCCTGTGGCTCACATTTGTAATCCTAGCTACTCAGGAGGCTGAGATCTGAGGATAGAGGTTCAAATCCATCCCAGGCAGGAAACTTCATGAGAATTTTATCTCCAATTAGTCACCAAAAAAAGCTGAAAGTGGAGCTGTGACTCAAGTGGTAGAGCACTAGCCTTGAACAAGAAAGCTTGGGGAGAAGGCTCTGTCCATGAGTTTAAGCCCTAGAACTGGCAAGGGAAAAAGTTAAGTGTAGAGCTTTATCAGAATATATTATGCTATTCTTTCTCCCCCTCCTTTTTTCCTCATTCAAAATATCATTTTATTGTTAGTAATGTATTGTGTAGTCTCCTCCCCTTATTCTCTCTTCCCACTCTCCCTCCTTCCATCCTTTTCTCTTCCTCCACACTCTCCTGCTCTCTCTCACTATCTCAGACTCTCTCACTCTTTCCCTCTCTCGATGTCTCCTCCACACACTCCCCACTTTTCTCTCCTTTGAGCCCTTTGTGAATGGGCCCTGTTTCCTATTCAGTCTTTTATCTTCATACTGAACAGCCTAGTGTTCACTAATTTTTATTGAAATCTAGTCCTAGTAACTTGGATATAAGGCAATTTCTTTTCTTTTCTTTTTTTGGGTCCGGTCAAGGGCTCTGAACTCTGGGCCTGGGCGCTGTCCCTCAGCTCTTCAGCTCAAGGCGAGCACCCTACCACTTGAGCCACAGTGCCACTTCCAGCTTTTTTCTTTTTGCTTATGTGGTGCTGAGGAATCGAACCCAGGGCCTCATGCATGCAAGGCAAGCGCTCTACCACTGAGCCACCTTCCCAGCCCCGATATAAGGCAATTTCAAGCCCAGTGGAAAGCAACACACTTGTCATTTACGAAGGAATACATCAGCAACCGCTCCTCTATAAACTTCTTCCATTCTGGCTTTTCAACTTGAAGGTCTCGGTAGTTATCATTTGACACAATGATGCCATCAGAATCAAAAGCCAATTTCACTATAAACCGGTCATCATAACAGACAACTCTTCTGCCCTGAACTCTCCGGGATGGTGTGAAGACAAGAATCTTCTCCTTCTCCAATTTACGTAGTATATCTTGATCTGTCAAAATACATTATATGTTAAAGTAGAAATCATCTTTGGAGGGACTGGGAATGTGGCTTTGTGGTAGAGTGCTTGCCTAGCATGCATGAAGCCCTGGGTTTGATTCCTCAGTACCACATAAACAGAAAAAGCCAGAAGTGGCGCGGTGGCTCAAATGGTAGAGTGCTAGCCTTAGTCAAAAGACACTCAGGGACAGTGCCCAGACCTTGAGTTCAAGACTCAGGACTTGCAAAAAAAGAAAATCATCTTTGGACAATAGCAGCATTATTCCCATATTACAGATATAAAAGTTAGTACTAGCCAGGTGCTATTGCTTAGGTTTGTAATCCTAGCTACTCAGGAGGCTGAGATCTGAGGATTCCAATTCAAAACCAGACCAGGCAGCAAATCCAAGATATTCTTCACCTCCAATTAACCAGCAAAAGGTTGGATGCAGAGCTGTAGCTCAAGTGGTGGAGAACTACCCTTGAGCAAAAAAGTCAAGCAAGAATGTGAGGTCCTGAATTCAAGCCCTAGCACCAACACACACACACACACACACACACACACACACACACACACACACACACACACACACACACACACACACACAGAGTTAGTACTAGATAAATAATTTGCCCTTAGAGATCAAGTAGGTTCTATTCCTGGCTATTACATCAAAATGGATTGTGACTTTAGGTAAGTCACCTTCTCCAGGCTTTTTTTTTTTTTATTGTGAAAATACCATGCAGAGGGGTTACAATTACATGAGCAAGGTAATGAGTACATTTCTTATCAAGCATTGTTGCCTCCTCCTTTGTTTCCCATTCCCATCCCTTCCCATCCCCCACCCCCATGAGCCAAAGTTGCAAAGTTTGTTTTTCGACATAGTTTCTTGTATATCTTATTGTTGCAATGGGTCCACCTGTACCTCTATTGAAACAATTTCTTTTTTCCCTTCCCCTCCACAAATTATACCAACATCAAATACAGGGGTTATACTGTGGGAGAGGGGCATACAAAACAATAAAGAAATCATCTTATAAACATGTTAGAAACAATAGCAAGAAAGAAAAACCATTTGAACCCTTATCTTGGGGTTCATTTCACCTAACATCAACTTATCTGACCATTTCTGCTAGTCTCATACATATACTAGTTATTGCAAATATGGGAAACTATGGGGCCTACGTTTCTTTGGACCTGGCTTACTTCACTTAATATAATTTTTTTCCAAGTCTTTCCATTTCCTAACAAATAGGGCAATGTCATTCTTTCTGATGGAGGCATAGAATTCCATTGTGTATATATACCACATTTTCTTGATCCACTCATCTACTGAGGGGCATCTGGGTTGGTTCCATATCTTAGCTATGGTAAATAATGCTGCAATAAACATAGTTGTGCTGGTAGCTTTAGTATGGTCTTGTTTGTGATCATTTGGGTAAATTCCCAAAAGTGGGATTGTTGGGTCATAGAGGAGATCTATGTGGAGTCTTTTGAGGAACATCCATACTACTTTCCAAAGTGGTTGAACAAGTTTACCCTCCCACCAACATCCCCTCCAGCATCTGTTGCTATTAGAGTTCTTGATTATAGCCATTCTAACTGGGGTGAGGTGGTATCTCAATGTTGTTTTGATTTGCATTTCTTTTATGGCTAGGGAGATTGAGCATTTCTGCATGTGTCTATTGGCTTTCCTCTTCAGAGAAGTTTCTCTTTAAGTCTTTAGCCCACTTATTTATTGGGCAGTTGTTTCTTTGAGGGTTTGTTGTTGCGGGATTTAATTTTTTTGAGTTCCAGGTTTATTTTAGATATGAGACCCTTGTCCATTGTATGGCTAGTGAAGATCTTCTCCCAATCCGTGGGCTTTCTATTGATCTTGCTAGCTATGTCTTTTGCCATGCAGAAGCTCTGCAATTTCATGCAATCCCATTTGTCCAACCTTTCTTTGATTTGTTGTGTTTCTGGGTCTCTATTAAGAAGATTTTGGTCTGTGCCAAGTAGACCTAGGGTTTCTCCTATTCTGTCCTGTAATGTTTCCAGGGTGTCTGCTTTGACTCTCTTTGATCCACTTGGAGTTGATTCTGGTACAGGGTGATATATAAGGATTTAGCTTTAGTTTTCTACAAATGATTAACCAATTTTGCCAGCGCCATTTACTGAAGAGGCTGTCTTTCTTCCATTCTATTTTTTAGTTCCGTTATTGAAGATTAGTTGGCTAAAGGTCTGTGGGTTCATTTGTGGGTTTTCAATTCTATTCCATTGGTCCTGAGGTCTGTTCTTGTGCCAGTACCAAGCTGTTTTGATTACTATGGCTTTGTAGTAGAGTTTGAAATTTGGTATTGATATTCCTCCAGCACTGTTCTTTGTGTTAAGGATTGTTTTTGCTATTCGGGGTCTTTTATTGTTTCATATGAATTTTTGGATTGCCTCTTCTATTTCCTTGGAGAATGAAGTTGGAATATTGATAGGTATCACATGGAATTTGTAGATAGCCTTGGGAAGTATTGCCATTTTCACGATGTTGCTCCTTCCAATCCAGGAGCATGAGAGGTTTTTCCACTTTCTAAGTTCTGTTTTGATTTCCTTTTTCAGGTTTTTAAAGTTTTCATCATAGCAGTCCTTCACTTCTTTAGTTAACTTCTAGGTATTTTATTTTTTGTGGGGCTATTATGAATGGAGTTGCTTTCCTGATTTCAGCCACGCTTTTCTCATTGTTGGCATACAGAACCTTCAGGCTTTTTGATAAAATGAAGGAATTGGGTTCAATCACATCTAGTTTCAAGAAAACTACTACAAAGAGTGAAAAGTAACACTTAAATTCAAGCATTCTCTTGCTTTTTAAAATTTTAATTTCATTTTGAGTTGACGCATTTTTGTAATAGGAGGGGCTTTCAATGAGATATTTCCATACATGCACACAGTGTACTTTGAGCAAATTCATTAGTCTTTTTTTGAGACAGAGTTTTGCTATGTAGCCCAGGCTGGTCTCTAAATCATAATCCTTCTGTCTCAGCCTCCCTAGTTACAGGTCTGTACCATCCTCGTCTGGTCTATCTAAGCATTTTGTTTTGCTGGTACTGGGGCTTGAATTCAGTGACTACACAGTTCCCCTTGGCTTTGTCTCTCAAGACTGGCACCCTACCATGGTTCCACTTCTGGATTTCGGGTTAATTGGAGATAAAAGTCTCATAGACATTTCTGCCCATATCAGCTTTGAACGAGAATCCTCAGATCTCAGCTTCTTGATTAGCTAGGATTACAGGCAGTAACCACCAGCACCACCTCTAAATACATTCTTTTTGTGCAAGTTCTGTGGCTTGAACTCAAGGCCTAGGCCCTGTCCCCAAGCTTTTTTGCTCAAGGCTAGTATTATTCTACCAGTTGAACTACAGCTCCACTTTTGGGTTTTTGGTGGCTAATTGAAGATGAGAGTCTCATGGACTTTCCTGCCTGGGCTGGTTTGGAACCATGATGCTGAGATCTCAGCCTCCTGAGTAGGTAAGATTACAGATGTGAGCCATGGGTGCTGAGCTTCTAGAGCCATTTTTATACACTCATTATTATTTTTCCTTCTGATGTGAAAAGAAAATAAAACATTCGTGGAACTTTAAAAGTGTTACTAGAGCATGCTTGTAATCGTAGCTACTCAAGAGGCTGAGATCTGATTTTTTTCTTTTTTCTTTTTTAAAATTATCTTTAAGTAGTTGTACAAAGAAGTTCTCATTCTACAGAGATCTGATTATTGTGATTTGAATACAGTCCAGCGAGATAGATTATTATTTCCAATTACCTAGCAAAAAGCCAGAAGTGGAGGCATGGTTTAAGGGTTAGAGCACCAGCCTTGACCAAAAACAAATAAAACAAAACAAAAAAGCAAGGGTGTAACATCCTAAGTTCAAGCCTCAGTACCAGTACATACATAAAAACTACCATTGGGTCTATTCTATCCAATAGATAAGTTGGTTCTGACTGTTGGGGGACTTCTTTCTCTCTGTTCCATCCTCTAATTTGAAAACCAAAAATCACTTCTTTAGTACAAAATGAGATCCACTGTCTGTTTCTTTTATTTCTGCAAAAGTTCAGTCATGTTCGTAACCAGATTCATCCCACTACTCTCTGAATGAAGTCCATGGTTAAATAGAAAAAACATTCTCTTTTAAACGATGTGCTTTATCTTTTGCTGAATTGAAGTTGTCTCTGACTACCATAAGCCAGAAAACAATGATGGTTTTATATGGATCACTTTATCAAAAATATACTTAACAATAGATATTTTAAGTATACTTAACTTAGAAAAATAATTATCCTAATTGGGACCATCAACCTCTCTCCAAACTATCTTGTTAGCTTTGTTTCCAGATGACAAGAAATGTCTTATTTGCAATAGTACCTGTAATTGGTGCATCAGGGCGAGATTGTTCCTTTCTCCAGGCAGGCACAAATACAGTGATATCTTTATGGCCTTTATCTAGGAACCAATCTACTGCAAGTTGTATTCCTCTGCAGGAGAATTCTTCTTTATTTCCATGGCTTTAGAAAGACAAAAAGGCAAAAGAATTAAGAATAACTCGCAAAAATAAACCCCATCGGGCCTTTTCTGCTTATGGGATTGACATTCTCTTTCTCGGTAATCCCAAAGAAATATGTGTGTGCACACATGCACATGCACGTGCATGTGCACATGTGTGTATGTTCCTGGATATTGAACCAGGTATTAGGCAAGTTTGGTATCATTGAACCATACCCACAGCCCTAAGGAATGCATTTTTCTGTGTGTGCTGGTCCTGGGGCTTGAATACAAGACCTTGGGTGCTGTTTCTGAGCTGATCTGCTCAAAACTGACCTGAGGATTGTGGTTTAAAACCAGCTTGAGCAGGAAAGTCTGTGAGACTCTTATCTCCAATTACCCACCAGAAAACTGGAAGTGGTGCTGTGGCTCAAGTGGTAGAGCTCTTGCCTTGATTTGAAGAGCTCAGGGACAGGGCCCAAGGCCGGAGTTCTAGCCCACAACTGCCACACACACACAAAAGAATGTATAAGTCAAATTAATTTTTATTTAATTGTTACAAATCATTTAATAATACATTTTTGTTTGTAATAATAAAATTACAACCTTTATTCAAGGCCACAGGTGGTTAATAACTTCCAATTTAGAGCAGTCATGGTGACTAGTTCGTATCACCACCTTATTTTTTAGAGATTCAGATATTTATAACAGATAAAAAATGAAAAGGCTTAGTAGAGGCTTAAAGTTTATATGAAAGCTTAGTTAGAGATGAGTCTTTTTTTAGGGGGGGTTGTTACTGGAGCTTGGACCTTATGCTCTCACTTGGCTTTTGTGAATCAAGTCTGTTGTTCTACCACATGGGTCACAGCTCCCTTCTGGCTTTTTGTTGGTTATTTGAAGATAAGAGTCTCACAGACTTTACTGCCCAGGCTAGCTTTGAACTGTACTCCTCCGATCTCAGCCTACTGAGTAGCTAGGCTTACAGGCATGAGCTATTGGCACCCATCTATTTCTGTCATCTTTAAAACTCAAAGTGTGTAGGAGATTTGTCTAGTTTGGTTGTGATCTTTTAGCATGGTATCTGATGATATGACATATACACATAAATCACACTAAGTTATAGCTAATAAAGTAGCTTGGATGACATTGTTATACAAGTATAAAATGCTATAAAATGTTATAAAATGCTATTACACTCAGGTAGATGTTGGTCTTCAATGTGTTTGTAACTTTTGGTGGCAGCACTGGAATTTGAACTCATTGTTTCTTGCTTGTTAGGCAAGTACAATGTCACTTGTGTCATGTTCCCAGCTGGACACTGCTTTTCAGACAACACTGACTGGAAGAAAATAACTTCTTTGTTAGCAGGCTAATAAAAAAAAAAGGTGATGAGTTTTCTCACATTAAATACTTTAACTTCTCACAGGCACTACAGCACATATTAGCTCCAATTATGCACATTGTTTCCTTTGGGCAAGTTCATATATAAGCTCAGGAACCTTATGAATATACACACTGCAAGAATTTCCATTGTCTTATTATTTTTGCAGCACATTATAAAAATTTATTTAATGCTTTTGTTAAGATTTCCAAGTTATATGGTAATCATGTTTAAAAGTCTCCAGTGAGTATGATAAAGCAATTATACTACTCTAGTGAAATTTTAAAATACTTAAACGAAGAAGCTATTTAACTATCAATGTATTCCAAGAAAGACTGAGACAACTACCACTGACTGCTTCTAAAATGCAGAACAGGGGAAAGAGTCTGTAGGGGAAAGTTAAGGGAGTCTCAAGCTAAGGAAAGAATATATAAGCTTATCCTAAGGGATAGATCAAAAACGCCTAAAGAAGAAGAGTCCAAGATGGCGACGGGGCAGTAGGGAAACGCCACAGCTCTCTCCAACCAAAAAGAGAGTTCGAGTTCCAACCTTTAATCTCCCCAAGAGACCGACAACAACAAAAAGACGAACACTCAGAGAAAAACCAGAGGTGGAAAATAACAAAAAAAAGAAAGAGAGGAAAAGAAGAATTTCAGAACAGAGAAGAGCGAAGACCCCTCCCCCAACCTTTACTGGCCGCGCGGCAGTGCGCCAAGCCGCCGGCCAGCCGGCCCGGCGGGGGCTGCCGGAGCCACAGAGACACAGGGGGCTGCTTGCAGATCACCAGGTACCGGATTGCAGAACAGCGGATCGCCAGGAACAGAGAAACCTACCAGCCGGGAGTCTCCACGAGGATCCCACCCCACCCATCACTCTCCACCGGAGCGGAGAGGCTCCATCCCGCCAAAGCCGCCCGGCACCAGCAGCGCGACAAAGGGACCTGTCGGCAGAACACCCGCCCAATCGCGATCGCAACGACCCGGCGGGGGGCCGCCCAACCCAGCCCGCAACCACCCCAACTGAACTCGGATTGCAACAACAACTGACGGACTGCAACAACAACTGACGACCTACAGGGTGAGTACCCATCAGGGGACAGGGAATCCATCAAGGGAGACCAGAGCTGGAGGGAATCCCCAGACCCTGACCTAGACTCCCTACCCCAACACCCGGACCACAGGACCCACTAAAACTGGGAACTGTTCGAGAGCTCCACCAGCCGGTGGAGCACACTCTGCTGGCCAGGCCAGAGCAAGAGCGCCCCTGGAAGGGAGCTTAAATGCTCAAGCCAGGAACAGTGCCCCTGGGTCAAGACTACCAACAGTAGAAGAAATTTGAACTGTGTCCTCCAGGCTGCATAACCAAGGTGGTATACACATTAGCACAGGCCTAACGAGCGCGCTCCAGGCTGGGGCCGGAACCAGGCCAGGGGACCGGCGCCTGAACAAAGCAAAAAGGGTCAGAAGTGGGGCTGTGGCTCAAATGGTAGGGTGCCAGCCCTGAGCTGAAGAGCTGAGGGACAGCACCCAAACCTAGAGTTCAAGCCCACAACCAGCCCAAAACAAACAAACAAAAACACATCAGGAGCCCATAGCAGACTCCAGTATTTGGGAGAGTGCATCCAGAGCATCTGATCTTCCCAAGAGCACCCGCAGGAGCAAACACAAGCAGTCTAGGCTGCTCAACCCTTCCAAAGGCGGGAATTGCTACAGCAGAGAGCTGAGAATCCTAAGTGAATAGCAGCTGGAAATAGGCTCCCAACAGAATCCAGATCAGGCACAGACTCTCTCTACCAATACAGAATCAGCAACCAAGCAAAGACAGACACACCAAAACAAGATTGAAGAGCAGTCTCCTGAACCCCCATGCGAAAATCACAGAGAAAAATCACAAGGTTTACCACTACCCAGGACAGCAAGCTCACCTCAAAAGCCAGCAGCCACGCAGGGGAGAGCCCCAGTGGGAGCAAAGCAGGAATGGAAGACAAAAACTACATCCAAGGGTTGCTGGAGGCAATGACTCAAGAAATAAAGCGAGAAATGGATCAGAAATTGAAAGAGCACAAGGATGAACTATCAAAAGATATACAGGATATCAAACAAAAATTGGATGCAAAAATAGAAGCTGCACAAACCTCAGTAAGAAGTGAGATAAACGCCAAATTAGAGGTAATGCATACTGATCTCACCTCATTGAGAGGTGAGATCAGTACTCTGAGAACCAACATTGAATCCATAAAGGGATCCATTTCCACCATGCAAACCACAATAGAAGCCACGGTCAACAGAGTGAATGAAATGGAAGGTAGAGTGTCAGATACAGAAGACAGAATACACCAACTGGACCAAAAAGTGACAGATATGGAAAAATCACTCAAATTAAACCAAAGGGAAATTCAAGAGCAAGCAGATAATGCTAAAAAATTTAACCTTCGCATAATCGGAGTGGACGAAGGTGAGGAATTCCAGAGCAAGGGAATGCAACACCTATTTAACAAGATAGTCAATGAAAATTTTCCCCACCTCAAAAACGACCATCTTAACTACATCACAAAAGCTTATCGAACACCCAACAAGCAAGATCCCAGGAGAAACACTTCTAGGCACATAATAGTAACAATGATGGATCTGAATAATAAGGAAACAATCCTGCATGCAGCAAAAATGAAGAAGGAGCTATACTACAACGGGAAAAAAATTAGAATCACTGCAGATCTCTCCACACAAACAATGAATGCAAGAAAAGCCTGGGAAAGCACCATACGAGCCCTGAGAGCCAATAACTGCCAACCCAGACTGATATACCCGGCAAAGCTAGCATTCACATTCGATGGAGAACTGAAAACTTTTAATAGCAAAGAAAAACTAAATGAATACATAAACATTAAGCCAGCATTACAAAGAATTCTAAGAGGGGGAACACAACCTGAAGAAAGCAACCAGGAACTGGGACCTGCCCCAAACAGGCATTACTCAAAGTCTAACTGAGCAAGCACAGGAGGGAAGGAAAGAAGAAAAACTTAGGAAAACGGAATGGCAGGGACAACAATGCATCTCTCTATACTTTCTCTTAATATAAATGGGCTGAATTCGCCAATTAAAAGAAAACGAACTGAGGACTGGATCAGAAAACAAGACCCATCCATCTGTTGCCTTCAGGAGACCCACCTCTCAGCCAAACATACAAACAAACTCAGAGTGAAGGGGTGGAAAAGGATCTACCAATCAAATTCCCCCAATAAGAAAGCAGGTGTAGCTATCCTGATATCTGACAAAATAAACTTTTCATTAAAATCAGTACAGAAAGACAAGGACGGACACTACATATTAATAAAGGGAACAATCCAAGAGGAGGATATAACCATCATCAACTTATATGCCCCAAATATTGGTGCACCCAGATATGTTAAACAAATGCTCTCAAACTTACAGAATAAAATAGATCCCAATACGATAATACTAGGAGACTTTAACACGCCACTCTCACCAAAGGACAGGTCTACCAACCAGAGGATTGGCAAAGAAGCTACCGAATTAAGTGAGGCCATACTTCAAGCGGAATTAACTGACATCTACCGAGTATTTCACCCTAAAACAACACAGTACACATTCTTCTCAGCAGCTCATGGAACTTTCTCCAAAA